AAGCGATTCTATTTGGTGGGGGGGGAAAAAAAGAAAAGTTTTCAATAGGAAATTAGCCTGGGGTTATAATCCTGACTTGTCCTTTATTAACTATATACCAATGACCAATGACTTAGCCTTTCTAATCCTCAGTAAATACCATCAGAGAGATTGGTATCCTGAAGCTGATCATAGCACTTTGGAAATTTTATTATCCTTGGAAATCTTGTTATCATTTTCTGTGAGAAAATGTAGTTCAGATATTTGTAGTACATAGTTGTTTCTAATTTTCTAAAAACCATTTCTGATATTGAAGCACAATTTTATTATCTATGAGTTATTGTTTTGTGATGAATAAAATGCAAAAGATGAGACACAGTAATCAACATGACTCTAAAAGTTTTTCCCATGTGGAGATCTTGAGATAGCTATCAACTATAAATCTTAGAAATTTAATTTTGAATAATCAAACACTTAAATAAATTTCAAATGAAAATGGCAAACAGTAATTCTGGGCTTGAGTATACTCTGACTCTGACTCATATACGCCCAGCCTAGATGGTTGCTTGATTTCTTTTGAAAACCCTTTTAAAATATTCATAAAAATTCACTTTAAATCATTTACCATTATTTAAATTTTTAAAAATTCAGAAGGTATGTTAACAAAGTTATAAATAATTATCAGAATAAATACTGCAAAGGATGTGGAATTTTTTAATACACACATGAACATACACAAACAGAAACACAAACAACATTAAATAAAAGTGAACAAATAAATGTTTATCTCTTTAACACAAATAGCTGACAAGATAATGCACATAAAACAGACTTAAAAGCCTTTTAAGGTACAGACTAAATATAGTTATAAATCCAAAAATGCATTGTAATTTTAAAAGAGCCCCAAATAAAGATGACAGCGGCACACTGTTCATCCACATTGACCCTCATGGAGAACTAAGGCACATATTTGCAAGAAGGATGTGCAAAGATCAATGTGCTGTCTATGATCTAAAAATCATGTAAAATTAACTGTTACATGTGATTTTAAGCCATGGAATAGACGTCAGGAAAGCTATTCTAATTAGTTGAGATAACCAGCCAAACAAGCTCTAATCTGGAGGTTGAAGGAGAGAAGGCAGAGGCAGAATAAGAACATAAAGCTCATAATACTGCAGACTTCCATTTTCTGCACAGTGGTTTCAAAAAATTTGCAAGTCATTTTCATAAGGCAATTTCCTTCAAAATCTGTAAATTTACACAAAGTGCTTTGGATAAGTATCAAATATATCAAAAAGCTTAAATCATAAAGTTCCTATAAGCCAATAGAATTTTAATACTATAGAATGCTTGACCATTGGATACTAAGAAAGCATATTACTAATAAAAAACTACTAAATTGTATCAAGAGTCAAATGAGAAAAAATAAAGAGAATAATTTAAAATATGCATCCATTAATTCATAATTGATTTTGATCCTAATGCTTACCAAACGGTTTTTCTTGCCTATTAAAATTGACAATGTAATGGCTGATAATTAAAATACAATGGCTATAATAGCAACATTCTTAATACAAACATGTTTTCTTCTATTTTAGGGAAGTTCAGTAAAAGTAAAAATTTCCCACGAACCTGTCTCATATGAGATCAACTACCTTCACTGAGTTCAGATGTGATTTGATGTAAAGGAAATCAAGTAAACAATGGTAAATATGATATTAACTTTAACCACTTTTATTAATTTATTCTGAGTTGGGTTGAGAAATTACCATCTTGTTTCTGTAACTCTCACTTTGAATGGAGCATGTTATTGAGGAGGAGACACAAAATATTTTGTTAACTGAATTAACTCTTATCCAAAGAAGTAGATTTTAGATACATGTAAGATATGCAGGTGGCAGAGATTTAAATTACCAAACTGTGTAATTGACTCTGAAAATATAGAAATATTGATTCAATGACCAATCATTGGATGAGCACAATTTATACAATCTAAGAATGTTTTGTGAGTAAAATATGAACATGTATTTGAGAAGATCATTGAATGTTAGTAGACTTCGGTTCTAAATTAAAGTTTGAACATGTTCAGTTAAAAATTCTTGGATAGAAATATATAACTTTTAATTGTTACAGAGTAATCCAAGTAATCATGTTCTTTCTAAGTGACTGGGATCAAGAAAGTATGTGCTTTAAAGAAAATATAATATTTAATCTTCAAAAGAGAAACTTCAAGTTTAGCCCTTACGTTGATTATATACTTACTAAAGAATACATTCAATAAAACTGTATTACATGGAAACAATTAATAAATGAATTCATAATTGAAAGTTAACAGACTAGAACTGTTTTACTGATGTTTTGAAATGATGAAACCCATTTGCAACTAAATGTCAGATCCTTCCTGCATCAGGTGGCATACCAAGGCACGAACCCAATTCTTTAAACCATTATTTTAAAAAGAGAAAATGTTGTGCTGTCTTTAATAATCATATCAAATTTCCTTTTATCATTTCAGTGACACCATCTTAGTATCCACATATTCCAGTTGAGAAGACAGACAAAAGACAGGAGGGAGAAAAAGGGAAGATAAAGCTAGAATCTTGGTTTTTACTATCTCCCAAGAGTTTAATCCACTCCCCCACATTCCAATTTACAGTAAAATGAAACTGCCACATTAACCTGAAAGGAAACAAAAAAAGAAAGAAAAATGACCAAATTCATTCAGTGAGTTCAGGCATATCCAATGAAGTAATGGTAAGTGTATGTGTATGCAAAAACGACTTTCTCTCTGAAATAGCAAAATTAACTTATACCTAATGGGACAAAAGGCAATTTAAAGAACAATCTAGAAGTACTTAAGAGTAGAAATAAAAAGAGAATTGGCTTGTGCTTATTGTAAAATGGTTTTAAAAAGGATTTCCAAAGAGCAAACAGTAAAAATAGAGTTTTCACTCTTCCTGTTTCATCAAGGAGTCTCCAGTTTCCTTCAGAAATTATAAATTGTGAGGCTTCTTAAGTACATGAAGGGATATAACAAATTTGGCAGGTACTGAATCAGAAGATGTGGGTGATGCAGAAATAGAACTTAGCAGGAAATTTTTATTTCGCTCAAGATATTCCTAGTCATTTATTACAGTTATTAAGAAGACTTTGAAACTTGTCATCCCTGTCTTTGACAAAATGAAAGACATTGCAAGTGCCCTCAAAGCAAAATCTCTCATGAAAGATAAGACAGAATAGATGGGATAACATAAAGAAAAAAAAGAAAAGCAACATGAATGAAACTTAGAAATGAGATATGATCTGAAGTCTAATATATGAAAAATGGCAGTTGTACTTAAGGGCAAGAAAAAAATGTAAAATGGTTAGACCAGAAGAAAATGAATAGAGACAGCACATAAAACACAAACACAGATTCTTAATGATCCAGATCTACTCTAGGCACTTCCCTGATTTCACTGGATCCAAGGGGATCCGTGTTGCTTTGGGTTTCAATGTCATCATATTTATATAATACATTTGAACCTTCATGTACTTACAGTGCCATATGCCATGAATTGTTGTTTTGAAGTAGAAATGATGAAGTAAATTTACTGATTAGTGTCTAGTAAAATTTGCAGTGGCATGATTTAGCCAAAAAAAACACATTAAATAACTTTTTCAAAATTTGATACAACATTTGCAAACCATTTAATGCACCCCAAGATTTCACTCAAAGCTTCCTGATGATTCATTTATACTTACCCATTATTTCATGTTGGTCATTTAAAATAAACCAAATTTAAGTATAAGAACCCTTTGCTTATTTACTCTACTTCTAAGGGTATTTATATCTTTCTGGGAGTTCCTTCAATAATCTTATTGGAAGTTCATTCACAGAGAATTTGTGAAACTTGATCAACAAACTCTCCAAAGTTAATATTATGTTATTAGTAATATGTACATTACCAGTTAAAGCTGACAATATAGACCGATTTTGCAATTAATTGAATCTAAACATCTACTTATTTACCTTGAATTAAAGTAAAAAGTATAATTGCCTGAATTACACTTCCTTTTATATAACAGAAAACACATAATCATCAGAAAATACATTTAAATGCTCAGAAGTACATTCTAAACTAAAAGTGATACTGGAGTTACTTGTTCACATTTGCTAGAAAAGTACCTCAAAGATGTGATGAGATAGAATGGAATAAAAGGAAAAAAGTTACTTGTATTCTTAATTAATTTCCACAACTTTTTTTCTTTTAAATACTATTGCATTATAAGTTATCCTGTAAGTTTATTATATTGTTAATTCTTCTCTTCATTTGCTCATGACAACCAACATATTTATACTATTGTTAGATCTGAAAGTGAAGATAACTGTGTTTTCAAGCAGATACCTCAGTATACTCATGTTTTAAACATTCAATGTATTTAAACTCACAATATTTGAAAAGGTAATGTGCCATTTTGAAGAACTAAAATGCTTTAATAATTTTAGATTATATGTAGCTAAGATTGGCTAAATATTAAAATGATCAGCTTTGTTTAAAAAAAACTTTAAATGGCAAATATTATAGTTTTCAGTAACATTCTTTCAGTAAAACAATAAGTGGACACATTGTTTGAAACAAATCATGGAATTTGTAAAGAAAGTCACCTTTCTGCTCTTTAATGAGAGTCACAGCAGATGAACTGACAACACACAGTGGGATGGCCAGTGATAGCAATGCATGGTATTTTATCAACAGTGTATCTATCATAAAATGAGTAATGCACTTAATAGCCATATTTCTACATATACCCAAAGCACTGAATAACTGTAGGGGTGAATTACCAGAATTGTTAAACATCTGACTTACAAAACAAATATCTATATCCTATTATATTTATATTCAGCCGACATAAAAACTAAGATGTCCTCCTTCACTAGAAACCGTTGGGTTTGTTTGAGAATAATGCTAAATAAACTTTTTTGGCTTATTAGTTTGAAGAACTAGTAAGTAAAAATAAATAAAATAAAAATAAAGATCTTTGACTTTTTTAAGAACATGTTTTATGTATGATTGAATTTTTACAACACTCCGAAAAAGCCATCCGATGTTAGATTTAAAAATAAAATCAAAAGCATTTTCTGACAGAGTACACTGAAAAATTGGAAATCCCAATATCTTCAATAGAAGTTGTAGAAAGTGTATGTCTCCTTGGAGCTTGACACCCACTTAACACAGCAGAAAATAAGGTACTATACTGTAAACAAAAAAGTACAGTAAAGGACAGTTGTAAATTTACATAAGAATAGTTCATAAACATTTTGGTCTTTCCATAACTGGTTTTATATAAAATGAATAAAAAAACCTTTAGACATCTGTCATCACTCTTGTTTGTCCACTTTTCACTTATATGCACACAGACATATTTATATAGCAGTATATTGATGCACCGTTACATGGATATTAAACTATAATTACTGTTTGTAACTGAGATGTGCATTATCCAATCAACATTATCCATAGTTGAAATACTCTTATATTATGTATTCTTCTCATGTTGTATCTATAAAAACATGAAAATATAACTTTACATTATTTCAATTATTTACATTAGTTCAAGCTTGACAGAGAAAAATTGATAAGCTCAATTTTTGGAACAGTAGGCCCAGAGGTACAATAAATAGCATTGATTGTATATAGTCATCTCTTTTCATTTTTAAAAACTCATTTTTAAGTACAATATGGAAATAATTAGTCTGCAATTTGGTCATTCTAGCATTTATTATGAAAACTTAAAATGCACCTCCAACATTCCTAGTGAGGAGAAATGCAATAAAAATTATGCTGTATTATTTTGGAATTTGTGATCAGGGACAGCAAAATTTAGTGAAGAATATCATGATTCCACATGCCAGCATGTTCAATGCAGTGGTTACTATTAAATCCTACATTTTCCTTCCCTTCAGTGAAATTAAAAAAAAAAAAAAAAGTTTTAAAGGCCACTGGTAGAATACCAAGTGCCAAACAGAGGTTTGCTTGCAGAAATAACAAGAATGTAAATATTAAAAGTAACTATTGGATGTAAATTATTGTTTACAACCCTAAATTGATTTAATTTACAGGGCTTTAGTGGAAGTAAAAGGTATTTTATGAGGGGAAAATAGATTTTTTAAAATTTATAAACTAGAGAAATATAAGCTCTTTAGTCACAGAAATGTGATATCTTATCCACACTGGGCATATTAAAATAGCCATTCCATCTGAGGAGTAAATATAAAAATAATATATTAGGGTTGTTTTTATTGATAGGAATCGGTAAAACTATATTGTAGATGACTCAAAAGTGTTTAAATTAGTCACTCTGTATAAGGTTTATGATAGTATTTCTACTTTTAAAACTGAAAACTTGTATTTACTCTATGGAATTTGGCCAATGGGCAACTATCTAAAAAGCTACTTTCAAGGCGTTTCTGACTTCATTTACAACTAATACAGCTCTTCTGCAAGCTCAAACACTTTAAAAATGAAACCTCACGAATTCTGGTATATATTACTTCATATTAGCTTTTTAAATCTAGTTGCATTTATCTATATAGATTAAGTGCTTTTGTATTAAGAAACATTTCATTATGTATAGTAAGACATATCAAAAACACATTCAGATATTATTTGGGGGCAAGTTCATATTTGAAAAAAAAAATCACCTGGCCTCTTTAAAAGGGGATATTTTTTCTCTGGGAACCTAACAACTTAGTAGTGTCTTTAAACTCACTTGATTTATGACCAAACTGTAGCTAAGCAAAATTAATTGGACCACTTGCAAATAAAACAATAGAAAAATGTTTATTTCAAATGTCAAGCATTGCCAAGTAATTTTATATTAACACCAAATGTTAAAGAATAGGATACATTAAAGTTTTAATAACAATATTAAATTACAAGATTGGAATCTTCTCTTTGTTTTCTTCCCTTAGCATTTACATTTTTGGCTTTGAAAAATATGGAACTGATACCTAAAGCCTTTTTTTTTTTAAATCACTTCCCACTCAGTTTGTTTTTTCGTCTTATCCGACCAATATGGAAGCAAATTTATTTAAAAGCCAGTTTGTTTGTGAAAATACCTAAAAATATTTTTTTATTTTAAATGTTTTTTTTTCTTTTTCTTATAAAACATGTCACATCTTGATGCAGTTGATGTCAAGTGTGCTTAAGTCATTATGAATCAAGAGACTAACAATAGTGGCTGCAGAAACAGGTTTGTTGTCTGTACAAAGACTTCGGTTAAATTCTAGTACTTCCGTGTTAGCTGTGCATGTCCACCAAGCTTCGTCTGTAATTCGAGTAGAAAAGGATGCTGTTTTTTGTTTTAATTAATCATTCCTTACAATTCAAGATGAACTCCGCGTATTTAAGAATTCTTGACTGAAAGAAAAGTCTTCAAGATACTGGATGCCTCTCACCACTTTGACAATAAACACACAAGAAAACCATTGTGTAAGGCACTCAAAAGGTTCTTATCAATCACGAGAGATCAGTCACA